CACTAATTTCCTTCACTGAAAGATTCAAAACTGCCCGTCCTGCCCATGGTGGATGTCCCATCCCTGGAAGTGTCCAAGGCCAGGTAGGACATGGCTTGGAAAAACGTGGGATGGTAGAAGGTGTCCCTGCCCATGGCAGGGAGTTGGAATGAGCTGACCCTCAAGGTTTCTTTCCAACATAAACCATTCCATGATTCCATGATGGACTGCAAGTTTATTCCCTCCCTCTTTGCTGTGTCTCCAGCAAATGAAGCAGCATCATTTCTTGCAGTAATTCCACACAGTTCAAACTTCCCATACCTTTGCTCAACTGTGTCCCTCTCCTACAGGCATTTATCACGGGTTTTTTTTTATGTTTGAATAGGCAAGGCCACAACATTTTTGAAATTAAAACTGACCAGCATTAACAAAGACAAAATTGGTCTGTAAAACCACAGGAACATTGTTCTCCTGCTCAATTGCAGCTTTTTCTTAGAAAAAATTATAATTGAAACCCATTTTTTTACTTCAACACAAGGAACTGCTGTGGTTTGAGCTGGGTTTTTGGTGGTAGGGGAGATATTTTTGGTTGGATATTGTGATGGATTCAAACCCGGTATGGAAAACAGGCTGACCTGTGAGAAGCAAATGTCTTGTCCAGCATGAAATATTGGAATTCTGGTTTGCATTCCTATTTATGTTTAAGCTAGAACCGTAACACTGCACAGACTGTTTTGTGATGTCCAGTGGTGCAACTGCTCCTTCCATAAGCAGCATCAGGACCCTGGGGCTGTAATTTCTTGCCAAGACCTCTGCAAGGGGGAATTTCGTCCTTTTTTACCCCCACAGCTACTTCTAATCTTGCAATGTGGAGTCAGCCTAATGAAAAAATCTGACTTGCACCACATGGAATTAAGACATGGATGGAAACTTTGGGGCTGGCGAGGATTCCAGCAGGATTTAGCCCCAGGTGCCCTGAAAGATTTTTCTGCCTGTGATAGAACCCCTGCACAGGAAATGATTGGCTGCAAGGGACCTCACCCACATGGAGGCAACGCTTGGGTGCCTCCAGAGGCTCGTGAACCGTGGAGGAGCAGTGAGGAAACTCCTTTTTTAACACAGATGGAATGGAAAGAATGAGGGGAAGGAAGGACGGCAAATAATGATGAAGTAACAGCGGGCCCAGGAGCTCCTGTCCTGCTCAGCACATCCCTGTGATCCCTCTGAAATCCATCCATGTGAATCCCCCCTTTCTACATCTGCCTTAGATGACAAAAAGCCTGGGCTGTTTCTGAAAATATCCTCAAGGTCATTTTTGGATGCTTATATGCCCATCAAGGTGCCACAGAGAATTAAAGGTTGAAATACGGGTCAGGAATAAAGCCACAAAGCAGATATAAAGGAGCTGATGGCTGTGTTTGAAAGGGACACACAGCCCAAATTATGAGGGAATGGGATATCCATCTTGGGATACTGTGGGTTTAGTTATGAGGAGCTGGAAGCACACCATCTAATCTGAAAACAGCATCCCAGAACACTCCATGCTGATTAAATTGAACACGGGAATTCATTGAAAGAGAAGATGAAGAATAATCAGCTGCACTTTTGCAAAATTTTCATTTAAATATGCCTTGGGTGTTTCCTCCTCCACCAGAAAATTCAGGGTTTGACTTTGCAGTCCTCACAATAGCCCTGTATTGGCAGAACAAAACAAGAATGGGCCAGAAGGGTTTTTTCACTGACTTTTGGGTACCAATACAATGAAAAGGCTGCAGGAGGTCTGGGAGAAGAAAGCAGAATACGAACGAGAAACCAGAAGCTCTGCAGCCCCCAAATCTTCTGATAAAAATGACAGAATGACTGACTGAGCATATTAATGAGGGTGCCCGGGCTGGCCTGCAGCTTTCCTTTTCTTATTCCTCATTTCCATCTGCCTTCTCCATCTCCAGCACGTCCCCGAGCCGGGACCATGTGCATGTGCTCTGCATGCAGCAGGAAAACCCTCACTGCTGGCATTGTCCTGATTTTGCACTCTTAAATATTCATAATCAATTAAATATCGGAGCAGCCCGTCACGAGAGGCAAGAAATAGCCCCAGATCATGAATGGGGTAACTAAAACACTTTGAAGAGCGTTCAGTGGGGCATCATTGGCCACAAAGCCCTGAGGAAACACCTGAGGAGGTCTGAGATGCAAATACCCCACAGCACAGCAAGTGCTGTTCTCTCCCAAAAGTGCCACAGCAAGAACAGATATCCTGAAATATCCATGCTTCAACTTAGAGCTCTGCAATTTTGAGCCTGACCTAAATTTTAATCAGAAATGAAAGTTATAGTCTTAGTGCAGGTTCTGGGAAGTGACCAGGGTAAAAGCAGCAAGTCCACTCTTCTTACAGCTCTGCTGGAGATTTCCAGCTTTGCCAAAAGCTTTGTCTACAACCAGCATTAACTTTGCAGTGTTTTTACCATCTTCAGTGGAGGAGCTGGCAAAAACAAAATATTGCATCCAGTGAGACCATCTAAACCATCTGTGGGGTGGAAGAAAGCAAAAACTCTCAAAAATCCCAAATATGCCTCTCCACAAACAGGGAATTAAAGATTCGACCCTTCCCCGCACTGTTTGCAGCACCCAAACGTTGCTGTGTTGGAAGCTGAGTACCCAAACTTCCACCTCCCCTCAACTTCAGAGCTGAGTCCCTGATTTCACCTTCTCCTGTCACTCTCATTTCCAAGAAATTCAGTTGGATGAAACTCACTGACTCCTGGCTATCATCTACTTTCACTATTTTTAAGAGGAAGAAGGTTGACCTGTGCCTGAGAGAGAACCCACTGGGTGAACATCTGACTTGGAGCATCAGTCCCACCTCAGAGCATTCCCAATTCCAGCACTGGGAAGCTGCCAGAAGAAAAGACAGACACACCCCCTATCCTGGTCCACAGCAGCAGTTTGGCTCATTGGACATCCCACCCTAAAGGCTTTAATAATCACTGGGCCAAATCTTTAAATACCCTAAGGGAATATACCCAGTGGAGCACCAGACAACAAACAGGCAGTAGGAAGGAAGGAAAACTGCTGGGAAAATCATTTGCACTTACCTTGAGAGTCCTGTGTTCAGATTAAATCATATCCCACTCAATCTTAGCTGTCCACCAAAGTCGAAAAACCCCTTCCAGATCATCAGCTTGGGACCATCAGCTCCTTCTGATGAGTTCCAATCCTTGGAGCATGCAGAAAGAGAAAACCCTAATTCTTCTTGTTGTCGTGTGTTGAGTTGCTGTTGGTGGTTTCCTGTTGCCAACAGCTGAATGACAAATGGAGCTGGTTTGCTACACTTAGAGCACTGGAGGGCTGGCAGTGTGACCACACTTCTCACACCCTACTAATATTAGAACGGGGTCTACCTTAGAGGAACCCACAAAGGCTCCTCAGGCTGAAAGACGTGCAGTCCTGCTGCAAACAGGGCCCTGAGCTGCCCTCATTCAGGCTGGGGTGATGTGAAAGTCAAGCCCTGGAGCCTCAGGGTATAAAGCTGGTGTGAAAATGGGAGGAGAAATATGGGCCTGGGGTTGTGTAAATTGGCCCATTCACAGCTCAGAGCAGCCTGAGCCAATGGAAGGGGTGGGGTTATTTATTGCACTTGACTCTCAGAGAGCTTATCACCAGTCAAGTTCGAGTCTGAGAAGTTTCTTTTTTTGTAATCAGCTGGGTTACGGGGCTGTAACCTCACTCACTTTCCATTTGAGGTTCTGTTTCTGCTTCAGGTCTCACCTAAAGAGTCAGGCCGTGTTCTTCCTCCTTTCTTCAGCGAGTACAAGACAGCTGATGCCATTTAGGGCGCAGGGGGAAGAGCACAGGAGACAGCTGACAGCACATCCTGGTATCTCTCCATTGCTTGTGTGAGAGATTTGGTGAGATCTGCCTTCCCCCTGTTTTGTGCCATTAACTGTTTGTGGTAGTGCACAAAGCTCTGCCTGTGCTGAGCACCCAGAGCCCATCTGGAGCTGCTGTGGGCGAGACTCAGCTCAAACCTCACCGCTCTGGGGCATTTCACTGCCTTCCATTCCCAAGGAGAGCACCAGAGAATCACAGAATGGTTTGGGAGGGAAGGGAAAATAAAGATCATCGTGTTCCACCATGCCATGGACAGGGACACCTTCTACTACCCCAGGGTGCTCCAAGCCCTGTCCAACCTGGCCTTGGACACTGCCAGGGATCCAGGAGCAGCCACAGCTTATTTGGTCATCCTGTGCCAGGCCCTCACCACCCTCACAGCCAAGAATTCCTTTCCAATATCCCATCTAACCCTGCCCTCTGACAGTGGGAATCCATTCCCTGTGTCCTGTCCCTCCATCCCTTGTCCCCAGTCCCTCTCCAGCTCTCCTGGAGCCCCTTTAGGCCCTGGAAGGGACTCTGAGCTCTCCCTGGATCCTTCTCTTCTCCATGTGAGCACCCCCAGCTCTCCCAGCCTGGCTCCAGCCCTTGGAACATCTCCGTGGCCTCCTCTGGAATCGGTCCAGAAGCTCCAGGTCATTCCTGTTTTTACCATGCAATGCTGTGAAGCTCCATCATCCCCATTTCCACCCTCATCCCCAGAGTTCCCGACCCACCAACTCATCTTAAGGTCAGAAAGATGTTGAATGCCACCTCCTGATCCTGCTGGATTCTGGATAAAGCCCCTGTGTGACCGTGTTCACAGGGGTTCTTGGACTGGGGAAGAGACGAGGATCTGACTCCATGTTTCAGAAGGCTTCATTTATTATTTTATAATATATACATTATATTAAAAGTATACTAAAAGAGTAGAAGAAAGGATTTCATCAGAAGGCTGGCTGAGAATAGAAAAAGAATGATAACAAAGGCTTGTGACTGACCAGACAGTCCAAACAGCTGGACTGTGATTGGCCATTAATTAGAAACAACCACATGAGACCAATCACAGATGCACCTGTTGCATTCCACAGCAGCAGATAATCAATGTTTACATTTTGTTCCTGAGGCCTCTCAGCTTCTCAGGAGAAAAAATCCTAAGGAAAGGATTTTCCATAAAATATGTCTGTGACACCCCTGCCTGTTGAGACAAGGAGAAAGGAAAACTAGACAGAACCTCATGAAACAGGACAACAGGGATCCTGTCTGAGACTGGCTGAGCAAAGTTTATCAGCTTGTTTTTTTGACATGAGGGATGAAAATATTATTTAAGAGGTTGGATCTTCACTCTTGGTCCTGCAGTTTCAAGGATCATCACTGGCTGAGATAACACCCTTCTTCTGATGGATTTCTGCACGGGAGGTTGTCTGGAGGCAAATTCCAAAGTATGGATCTCTCTGAAATATTGGACATTGGGAGTGTTGCAAACATTTGATTTTATGGCTCATTTGTCAGTCTGAACAAACAGCAAAGAAGAGGAATCTAACAAGCAAACACATTTCAAGTGCTGTTCACATTTTGAGGTTCCAAAATACTCAGTTTGATTTGGAAACAGAAAAAAAAACCCCAACAGCTGGAGTGAGAGAAAAAAAAACCATAAGCATCCAATTATTGGTCTTTCATTTTATTTGTTCTGGGTTGAGGAGATTGTCCAGATTCTGTTTGTCAAGCCACCAGTTGCTGAAGTAGAACTGTGTCCCCTGACCATCAGTTCCAAATCCAGGGAATTCCACCCAGCTCTTAATGCAGAAAGTGATCCTGGGGTGACAAGGGAGAGAAGCTGCAGCTTGGACTCCACCCTTCATTCACCCCAGCTTAAAGCAAGAGTCTGAGATGCACTTTTCTTACCTTTCCTTCCTCCCAAAGCCTAGGATACAAGTTCAGGGCAATCACAGCATTTTTAAAGGTCCCTCCAGTCCTGTGGGTTCTGACAAAGCCTTACTGGGTTGAGAGAGGTTGACAGAGACTGAAAGAGGAATTTTCATTCATTAGCACTTCTGGAGTTAATTTACAAGAAATATTTTAAGTGAAAGTAGAACTGAAATCTCTTTTTTCCAGCAAAGAAGAGAGGTGGAAGAAACATATATCAGTCTTGATATTTTTAAAACTATTTTTATTTTTATGGATTGCTGTAATTAATTGTGTTAGTAGGTTTATCAATGGAAAGCCATTACAAATCAGTTAAAAATCTTTGGAAAGGGTCTTGATTTTATTAGGAAATGATTTCTAGTTCTTCAGGTCTTGGGGATTTTTTGAGTTGAGGGAGAAATAATTCAGTAATACCCACACTTACAAAGTTAGTTATGGAATTGCCAAATGGATTTAATTTTACCTTTGAAAAAAAACAAATGGGCTGAAAATTCCCACCATTATTTTGATAGGATTTCAGGCACAATCATCCTTTGTTAGTTCTTTGATGTTTCACTCACCTGGGAGAAACCCATAGAGAAAGTAGATACCCCAAGGAAGGATCCTGATCTAGTGGAAGGTGTCTCTGCACATGGCAAGGGGACTAGGTGATCTTTGAGGTCTCTTCCAACCCAAACCCTTCAATGATTCAGTGAAGACTGACCCAGGCCAGTGCCAGTCAGAGATCCATAGAGACGAGCAGCCAGGTGACCACAGCTGACCCCTGCAGCCCCTGGGGACACCATTGGGGTGTCAGCATCACCTGGGGACCTGCTGCCCTCTGGAGGTGCCTCTGCCGCGTTTCCAGGTTGATTTGCTTCCAGGTGATCCTCCAGCCATGCCAGAGGACATTCCTGGTGCCAATCCCTGTGGACAACATGGAGACTGCTCCTGGCCAGGATGGGACGATGATGGCTGGGAGCACCACAGCCTCCTCTTCCCACGCTTGGAAGGCTGAGCTCCAGGGAACTGTAGGATCACAGAATGGTTTTGGTTGGAAGGGACCTTAAAGACCATCCTGTTCCACCCCCTGCCATGGGCAGGAACACCTTCCACCTTCCCAGGTTGCTCCAAGCCCCATCCAGCCTGGCCTTGGACACTTCCAGGGATCCAGGGGCAGCCACAGCTTCTCTGGGCAACCTCTGCCAGGGCCTCCCCACCCTCAATATCTCAATACCTTCCCAATATCTTATCTAAATACACTCTCTCACAGTTTGAACCCCTTCCCCTTTGTCCTGTCACTCCATGTTCTTGTCCCAGCTTCCCTATATGTTCCCTTCGAGTACTTCAGGAACTTTTCTCTACAGGGACTTTGCTTTAGGGGAAAAGCATTTATTGGAGGACTAGCTGAGGAGAAACCATTAATGCTTCTCCAAGATTCCAGCGGCGGTCCCACAGAATGGCCACACAACCCTGCCAGGAGATCCAGCTCCTCCATGCTCTGTTAGCAGAATACCTGCAGGGACAAACCACCCAAATCCAGCAGAAAGGGAAAGAAGCAGAAGGTTCAAATCCAAACTGAGTTGAGCTGCTGCTGTTGTGATAAAGGAATGGCCATTTCTGCTCATTTTGGGTGGTAAGAGGCAGCTCAGAAAGTCCAGGTAAGATTTAGGGAGCTCCAAGGCACCTTACAGAGTTTGTAGTGTTCAAATCAGCAGAGAAGTCTGGCTGCTCCATCCCTGGAAGTGTCCCAGGCCAGGTTGGACAGGGCTTGGAGCAACCTGGGACAGTGAAAGGTGTCCCTGCCCATGGCAGGGGGTGGAAAGAGAGGATTTTTAAGATCCCTTCCAACCCAAACCCTTTCATGATTCTACAAACTACCACTACAGCAAGGAATTTCCAGCTTGGGCTTTGCAAAACTTCATCCCAGCAAAACCTGAGGCTTGGATCTGTGTGTTCCCAAGGATTCAGCAGTCCTCTGGAAAAGCTTCTGTGCCCAGGGATGATGTGGGAACTGGCAGTCTCTGGAGCTCTGGGGGCAACAGAAATGATTCCTTGTGTCTGAGGAAAAGAAAAAAATACTGAGCCACAGGTGTGGATAGTGATGGTGTTTCACAAGTTTATTTTGACTGATCACACCTAATTTCAGGTGTCCATTGCAGGTGGTTGGTGTTAGAGCATCACCAGTGGGAGAACCACTCTCCTTCAGCAGCTCTCCACCAGTGTTTTTTGGATGAACACAATTTATCCAAGATAAATCCAGGCCAAAAAACATTCAAACCCATGGACTAGCTTCAGAAGGATGTGGCTGCAGCCTTTCACTGCTATCTCATGGCAGCTCGTTTGAAATCCATTACGCAACCGAATTAAAAATAAACATTTACAGAAGAGGGAGCGGGGTGACAGTGTGTGGTCTGTTCCTGTGAGGAGACAGACAGACAGACAGACGTCCAGCTCTGGGAGCAACACCTCTGCTGTAAACTCACCCTGCTAGACCTGGGCTCTGGCCCTGAGGCCATCTGACCCTGTCTGGCCACATCCCTGAGATTCAAAGTTCCTGGCCATCAAATCTGGGTGGCTGAATCCAACTTGTTTGTCAGGAAGGGGCCCCAGTCCTGATCATTCCCAAGCCATGTCCTGGGATTGCTCATCCCACACCAAAACCAGGCCAGGGGCTGTTTCACCCTGTGCCTGTCTGATCCCTGGTGCTGCTTGGTTCATGGGCAGACTCAGTTTTGATTTGGATGAGATGATGCTGAAAATGTTGAACCTCCACAAGCTTGATGGATCAGGCTCTGCTCTGTGGGACCCAGAAACAGGAAAACAGGAATGGGCAGGAATTGATGCCCAGGAAATTCCACCTGGACATGAGGAAGAACTTTCCTGTGCAGTGACTGAGGACTGAACAGATTGCCCAGAGATGGAGTGGAGTCTCCTCAATGGGGATATTCCAGAATGATCTGGACACAGCCCTGTGCCCTGGGATGGGAAGGCTGGACCAGCTGACCCACTGTGATCCCTTCCAACCCCTCTTGGGATTCTGGGATTCCTTTTGCTGCTAAAAGCTCCTGCAAGTCTTTATCAGACAGTTTTAACATGCAGCCAAGAGCTCTTCCATCTCCCTTGGTGCCTCTCCATCATCATCAGCCTTCAGGTGCCTCCCTGCAGCACAGTGAGAGCTGATCACCAGGCTGAGTTTGCATATGCAGATCTGAAAACTGACAAAAAAAAATGGATGCTGGCAAAGCAAAAAAAAAAAAAAATTAAAAAAAATTGCATTTTCATCAGAAATGTGGAAATGCTGCTGTTCATTCTGAATCTGCATTGCTACATCCAGGACACCCCCCTTCTCTGCAATCCAGATTTCAAAACCCTGTGCAGGCAGAGCTTCTAAATTCCTTTGGGGGTCTGGGGCACCCCTGGCATTCAAAGGCAGGAGAGAAATCCCAGCCCTTCCATGCTGGAGCTCAGGAATGGGCTGCAAATCTCCCTGTTGCCCTCGGGGGGCAGCTGGGAGGCTCAGGCAGGAGAATGGAAGGGTGAAAAAAAGGAATAAAAAGGTGGTGAAGAGGTTTCTCTCACAAAAAAAAAAAAACTGAATGTGGGAATGGGGAAAGGGCTTGGATGGTTGAAGGTTGATGGCA